AACAACTACCAGACTTTTAGAAGACATCGGAAGGCAGCCCTGTTCAGGGAAGTTTTTAATGTGTGACATTTTAATGTATTTTTAATCTTTGTTGGAAGCTGCCCAGAGTGGCTGGGGAGACCCAGTCAGATGGGCGGGGTACAAATAAATTCTTCTTCTTCTTCTTCTTCTTCTTCTTCTTCTTCTTCTTCTTCTTCTTCTTCTTCTTCTTCTTCTTCGTGGGGCATAGGAATTTGTTCATCCCCCCCCCCAAATAAAAATATATAGTCCGGCCCCCCATAAGGTCAGAGGGACAGAGGACCAGCCCCCTGCTGAAAATGTTTGCTGACCCCTGGTACACTGACTGGCAGGGGTTCTCCAGATTTCCAGTCTGAGATGCTTCTCCCTGCCTTACCTGCAGATGCCACAGTTGATCGAACAGGTGGTTTTCCTGCTTGCGAAACAGACACTGTAGCACTGAGCCATTGCCCTTGTGTTACATTTGGCTTTGGGGGGGGCGCTTTTGGTGCTGGCCATTCCCAATGTTCTTCTCTTGCCTTCGTGACCCACGTGCATTTTTCCTGCACCTGTGCGGCTACCGTAGGAAAGAAGATGTTAAAATAAAAGGTGCTGTCGTCTAGTCCCAGGGAATGATCCAAAGGGATGGGAAGCCTACTTGCAGAATAGTTGGAGATGGCTTCTGAATACCTTGTCCTTCTGGAAACCTCAAGAGGAGAGACTTCTCTTGTGCTCAGATCCTGCTTGCTAGCTCCCCACAGGGAAGAACAGGAGAGGGCCTGATCCAGCAAGCTCTCCTTATTGTTCTCATTAGACAGAGAGAGAAAGACAGACAGACAAGACAGACTCCCCACCCTCACCTCCACAATGTTTTTACTCAAACCTTTTCTATAGCATTACATCTTTATCTATTACCAAATGTTTCTCTATTACAATTATTTTGTCGTTTTTCTTCCACTGCTTTTATCTTGAATCCTGCCTGCAATATCATTTGACTATAATTTTTTTTAAAAAAATAGTCACTAAAGACCTCCATTCTTCTATTTAAAAGTTCATCGTTTTGATCTCTTAATTTTTCCTGCCAGCTTTGCCATCTCTGCATCATCCATTACTTTCAAAAGCCATCAACCCTTCATTGAAACCTGCTCTTCTTTCCATTTCTACACCTATAATATTCTAGCTGCCATTACCACGTACATAAATAGTTTAGTCATTTTCTTTGAAACCTTCAGCCCTATTACGCCTGTAAGGAAAATTTCTAGCTTTGGGGGAATAGCCCATTTAAACATTTTCTTCATTTCATTTTGTATCATTTCCCAAAAGCCTTTAGCTTTTTTTTTACATGTCCATCACATATGGAAGAATGACCTTCTATCTGCTTACATTTCCAGCATTTACTTGACATGCTTTTATACATCTTGGCCAGTTTATTTGGCATTTAATGCCACCTGTAGCTCTTCTTGTGTTCTTAAGGAGGTCTGGCTCAGTGCTTGTAGCTGCATGGAAAGCACATGGAACACCTTCTTAGGTTCCACGATGGAAGATAGGCAGGCTATAATTGTAATAAAATAAATCCCGCAGGGCTCTTCTTTCACTATTTTTTTAAACATTAAGTCCAGCTGCAGCCGCGGTTGCTGATTCTCCTTATTCAGCAAGTCCTGACCTTCGGCTTCCGCTGTCTCTTGCCACCTTCCGTTGAGGAAATTAATCAGAAATCTATTTGCAGACCAAGTGGCTGGGAAAGAAATAAAAGAGTCCCCCCCACCCACCCTGATTCTCTCTCTCTCCCTCTCCTTCTTTCTTTCTCTCCATCATGTTCTGCAAAATTCTTGGCAGCCTTTTGATTCATTCAACAGAGAGCAAGCTGGCATTAATCATGTCGGAAGGGCCTTCCCTCTTGCTGTGACAGCGAGGTGACACGACCCCTCGAGATCGTCTGTAATTCGGGATAATGAACAATTATAACCTGACAGGGAAGATTTAACTGTCATAGGACAGCTGCACAGATTGCTCACGCTTTGAATAATCCGATTGCCACTCTTGGTTCCACACGCAAACAAGGTGGGACGGCAACTTGCCGGCAGTGTAGCGAAGCAACAGACCATACACGGATGTATGTTTCCGAGACTCTTCTCTCCCTCCTGTGGGTGATCAGGAGTTTCATAACTCAGGAAAAGCATTGCTAGCACTAGCCATTAGCCCATTCGTTTCTTGCAGATAGGAAATGCCCAAAGACAGGAAGCCGTGAATCTTCTCCCACTGTGCTCCTTGTTTCAATGGCAGGAGCAGGATTTCTGAGGTGGCCCCTAAAGTCATAGAATCATACTCAGGGTAGAGCTGAAAGGGAGACCAAGGGTCATCTAGTCCAACCCCCTGCAATGCCAAGAATCTCGGCTATGTCCATCCAACCTCTGCTTAAAAGCAGAGGAAGGAGAGGCCACAATCTCCGGAGGGAGACAGTTCCACTGTCGAACAGCTCTTACTGTCAGAAAGCTTTCCCCCGTGTGTTTAGTCAGAATCGCCTTTCTTGTAACTTGAAGCCATTGGTTCGAGTCCTACCCTCCAGAGGAGGAGAAAACAAGTTTGCTCCCTCTTTAATTAATTAATAATAATAATAATAATAATAATAATAATAATAATAATAAATTTTATTTATACCCTGCCCTCCCCAGCCAAGACCGGGTTCAGGGTGGCTAACACCCGATCTAAAAACAAATTGATTGAAATACAGCTTAAAAACAAGATTAAAATACAACATTAAAACATTAAAATACAGTCTCATTTCAATGGAAACTCAAATCAAAAACTTTTTTGGGGATGAAAACGTAAAGTCCTCACCAAGGCTAACTATCCAGACTGGTCCTATGTGGGCCAGAAAAAGCCAGGGAAGTCCCCAGATAGGAGTTCCATCACAGAAGGAGAAAGGAAAAAAGAAAAGGGGGAGGGAATCAAATTAATTCCAAGCCGAAGGCCAGGTGGAACAACTCTGTCTTACAGACCCTGCGGAAAGAAATCAGATTCTGCAGGGCCCTGGTCTCATGAGACAGAGCGTTCCACCAGGTGGAGCCAGTGTTGAGAAGGCCCTGGCTCTGGTTGAGGCTAATCTGACTTCCTTAGGACCCAGGACCTCTAGAGTGTTGCTATTTATGGACATTAAGGTCCTCTATGGGGCATACCGGGAGAGCTGTGACAGCTCTTGAGATATTTAAAAATGGCTATCATATCTCCTTCCAGTCCCCTCTTTTCCAGACTAAACATACCCAGCTCCTTCAACTGTTTCTCATAAGGCTTGGTTTACAGAGCTGTCATGTGGGTTTTCTGGAAAATTTAGGATGGAGGGGGGGAAATGTTACTGTGCAGATTAGGCTAATTTCCACTGGAAAATGTTTAGCTGGCATCAGAAAAATTTCTGATGCCCTGCAACAGGTGTGGCAAAGCTTTGGCCCTCCTGGTATTGCCGAACTGCAACACCCATCATCCTCGGCCAATTGCTATGTTTCCTGGGGCTGGTGGGATTTGTAGGTCAGCAACATCTGGGGGGCCAGAACTTCCCCACACCTGCTCTAGAAAAGTGATCTAGTTTAGCGCATTAATTTTACTTGCATTTAGTAAACAAAGCAAAAAAATATTTGGAACTGACAAACTGGCAACCGTTCATTGCTACTTACAGAATGAGGGGAAGGGAAAAATAAAGCAGCAACAAAAATTCTAATTTGGAAAAGTTTTCCTCCCTCATCGCTCGTTAGGGGATCTTCTGGCAAAAGTTAGCTTAATTAGTTCAGATATGGAGCGAGTTGATCTGTACAAGGCCATCTGCACATGCCCTTTTGGAAATTCAAAAGTAGTCTGGGAACTAATTCTTAGTGGGGCAAAAATGTTGTTCTGCTCAACCTTTTTGACCTTTAATATTATGCAAAGTACAGTGGTACCTCAGGTTACATATGCTTCAGGTTACAGACTCCGCTAACCCAAAAATAGTACCTTGGGTTAAGAACTTTGCTTCAGGATGAGAACAGAAATTGCGCAGCGGCAGCGGGAGGCCCCATTAGCTAAAGTGGTATCTCAGGTTAAGAACAGTTTCAGGTTAAGAACGGACCTCCGGAACGAATTACAATGGTGCCTCGCAAGACGAAATTAATCCGTTCCGCGAGTGTCTTCGTCTAGCGGTTTTTTCGTCTTGCGAAGCAACCCTATTAGCGGCTTAACGGATTAGCGCTATTAGCGGTTTAGCAGCTATTAAAGGCTTATAGGCTTAGCGGATTAGCTGCTAAAAGGCTATTAAAGGCTTAGCGGCTTAGATAAAGGGGGGGAGCGAAAAAAAAATCTCAAGACTCGCAAGACATTTTCGTCTTGCGAAGCAAGCCCATGGGGAAATTCGTCCTGCGAAGCAACTCAAAAACGGAAAACCCTTTCGTCTAGCGGGTTTTCCGTCTTGCGAGGCATTCGTCTTGCGGGGCACCACTGTAAGTACTTAAGTACCACTGTATATAGAAGGGAGACCTTGCTTTTCAGAAGTCCTGATCCTTGCTGGGCAGGAAGGCAAAGAGTAAGTTGCATTCCCTTGGAGACATTCTAGTAGGGAGAGATGTTTTCAGTGGAACGCTTCTAGAAGCTGCTTCTAGGTGTAAATCTATAACAGGGAAAGGGCTGCCTACATTGCCATTTGTGAAGAAAGCAGACTAAGACTGCATTCCTATGCATTCCCCTCCCCAAAGTACCGTAAGCCCCATTGGGTTTAATAGGGCTTACTTCTGAGTAGGCATGAATAGGAGTGCACTGTAAATCATTAGTATGGAGCATGCAATCATTGCTGGTGAGCTGCTAAGTGCCTCTGAGGACAACAGAATATATTGCTCCCATTCTGCTAGTGCAAAGGATGTGTGCTAGCAGAATGGGACTTTCTGCTCCCCCCCCCCGCAGCCTCCCCCTATAGAATCTTAGAATTGTAGAGTCAGAAGTGATTGCGAGGGTCATCTAGTCCAACTCCCTGTAATGCAGGAATCTTTTGCCCCAACGTGGGGCTCAAACTCACAACAACCCCAAGATTAAGAGTCTCATGCTGTACCCAATGAGCTATCCCACAAAATCCACTTGGGTTGGTTGAGGGACCTTCTGGAGAAGATTTGTGGGCCACACGGGGGGAAGAGAAGAAATGGAGGTGCCACTGCAGCAGTGTGACCCTGCTGCCAATGTTTGGGATGCAACCCATACTGTTGTTATCCGCTTTTCTGCTAATAATATCCAAAGTGGCTTGCAAACAGATTTGCAGACTTGGAAGGATACATCTGGTCCAAGGTGGCCCAACTTTTCATAGCAGGTGGGCCACAGGGCTACTTCAAGATGAAACACTGCCTTGTTATGTGGGGTTGGGGAGCGAGGCAAAAATTTGACGCCCTCCTCCACAGCTCTAGCACCTGAGGCACCGGGCTTTGGAAGGAAGCATGAGGCTCTGGCAGGGTCCTAGAGCCCTTGCACTTCCTATCCAAAGCTAGGAAAGCACTAACTAGGCTTTGGAAAGGAGGCAGGAGGACTCTGTGCCTCCTTCCCAAAGCCCAGCCTCTCACTTACCTGGTCTTGGGAAGGCAGCTTGAGGGCTATGGGGGTATCAGATAGCCAAGGGCCACAAAAAAGGCATTGAGGGCCGCATGCTGGACTACCCTGATCTAGTTTCCAGGCACAATTCAAAGTGTTGGTGTTGACCTTTAAAGCCCTAAACGGCCTCGGCCCAGTATACCTGAAGGAGCGCCTCCACCCCCATCGTTCTGCCCGGACACGAGGTCCAGCACTGAGGGCCTTCTGGCGGTTCCTCCCTGCGAGAAGCCGTTACAGGGAACCGGGCAGAGGGCCTTTTTGGTGGTGGCACCCGCCCTGTGGAATGCCCTCCCACCAGATGTCAAAGAGATAAACAACTACCTGACATTTAGAAGACATCTGAAGGCAGCCCTATTCAGGGAAGTTTTTAATGTGTGACATTTTAATGTATTTCTAATCTTTGTTGGAAGCCACCCAGAGTGGCTGGGGAAGCCCAGCCAGATGGGCGGGGTACAAATAATAAATTATTATATTATTATTACAGTTCAACCCCCCGCAATGCAGGACTCGCAGCGAAATCAAATGACATAAATCTACAGGAAGACAAATTTCAGAATGAAACAAAGCCAAACACTCCTGTGTGAGCAAGGATGCTTTTAACTTATGCCTAGAGTTGCCCAAAGCCAGGAAGTAACCTCAGATTATTTGGCAGGCCTCTCCAGGCAGCGCTATCACTTACAAGCGCTGTAATTTATTATTTATTCACTTATTAAAAGCATTTAAAATCTAACCTTTGCCCAAAGGTCTCCGGGTTGGAATACACAGCCAACAAAATCAGATTAGCAATCTAAACTAACACAATATAAAACTAAGCAAAATGCAATAAAGCAAAACCCACAATAAAATTGCAGGTCAGTAAAAGCACCGCCACCACCACCACCAACAAAATAAAGCAGCAGCAGTAGACAGGAGTTTTCATCTCCCATTGCAACTTACCCATCTTGAAAGTCCTGGTCCAAGAGATGCAACTTCACATGCGGATGAAACAAAACCAGTGTCTTGGTGAGATGCACCTTAGAGGGGGTCATTCTATGAGATCCCACTCCCCTAGCAAAGCAAGGTCTTTTTTATTTATCACTCACATTTATATCCTACCTTTCCTCCAAGGTGGCATACAGGGCAGGGTTCTCCTACTCCTCCCCATTTTTTAATCCTCCTAACAACCCGGTTCGGTAGGTTAGGCTGAGAGACTGTGCCTGGCCCTAGGTCACCCATGGCTGAGTTTCATGGTGGAGCCATGGGATTTGAACCCTGCTCTCCCAAGCCCTAGTCCAGCGCTCTAACCACTCCTCCAACGCTGGCTCAGTGGATTAGCTCATCATCCTCAGGGACTCTAGACCAGCTTTCCCCAACTTGGTGCCCTCCTGGCGCATTGGACTACAACTCCCAGCAGCCCCAGCCAGGATGTCTGTGCTGGTTGGGACTGATGAGAGCCATAGGCCACAACATGGAGGGCACCACAAGTGGGGGAGGCTGTGTCAGGGCCCGTGGGTCTCTTTCTTCCATATAGAACTTGAGCCCAGGATTTGGGCTGAGTATATTTGTGTTCAAAGTGAGATTGGTGGTAGCTGGGCTCTTTTCCCCATGTGTGGCCAGCACACAAAGAACACAGGTGGACTCGTGAGACTAGATCTTCCATGGGTGACTAGCCATTTGCGGAGGACTTCGCAGTAGCATCAATCTTCATTCTTCCTGCCTGGAATGTAATTGGCAAATGCTGATCACGAGCAGATGGAGATCGCTGCATCTCTCATGCTTTTTGAATGGGCAACCCTCCCCCGTCCAGGAAGAGGCCCATCATTCAGGAAGCCCCCAGCCTTCAGGACACCGGCATCTGAGACTGCCCTTATAGGCAGTCCTGCCTAGTTTATCAATCTGTGTCGGCTCCCAATTTCTTGACTACCTGGAGAAGAACTCACATCAGCTGCATAGCACGTATGATTAGAGCGTGGTCATGATAATGCCAAGGCTGCAGGCTCGATTCCAGTAAGGGACAGCTGCATATTCCTGCATTGTAGGGGGTTGGACTAGATGATCCTCAGGATCCCTTCCAACTCTATGATTCTGTGATATGATGAAACCTGGACCATCGATTACCAGCAAATGGAAGCTTCAGCCAATACTTGTGCCTTTCTGTAGCATTCTCAGAGGTTGACCATCTCGACTGCCAAGCACGGTGCTTTGGAGGGTTACAGCCTGTGGGTTGCATTATGGCTAAAATGTACTTGCATCAGGAATCTTCTGTGCCCTTCAAATCCTAAGCAGACATTGTTGCATCACAGCTCACATCGCCCCTGATTATTGACTGTGTTGGCCAGGGCTCATGGGAGTTGGAGTTCAACAACACCAGGAGGGTATCCCAGTTCTAGAGGTATCTAGCCACTGCAGACAGCCAGGTACTGGACTCCCTGTCTGAATTCCTGCAGAGCTGTTGCCAGTCAGTGTAGACAATATTGAGCTAGATAGGCTAGATTCAGTAGAATGTGCAGCATCCTTTATTCCTACAGCCTTATTGACAGTGTGGTTTGAATGCAATGGAATGCAGTGTTTCTCAACCTGTGGGTCCCCAGATGTTGTTGGACTACAACTCCCATCATTCCTAGCCAGCATGACCAGTGGTCAGGGATGATGGGAGTTGTAGTCCAATGACATCTGGGGACCCACAGGTTGAGAACCGTTGGCTTAAGGTGTCTATAGGTGTTCATTTTTGAGTAGCCATTTTGATTATTATTCCGTATTGCTTTTTAAAGGTTTTTTTAATGTTGTTGTACTGCCCTGATGTTTTGCAAGAGGGTGTCGTATAAACACAGACACATACCCCAAACCTCCTTACACACAAACTGACAAGGATTCCAGCCACAATTTCTACTAGGCATGCTTGCTTTGTAGTGATAGTTTGGTTTCATTCCAGTCTGCCCTGCAGCTGAAGCCATACAGACCATGAGCACTTTTACAACCTCATCTGCAGCTCGCATACCAAGGGTCTCTCCAGCTCGCCTTGCCCCCGCCCAGGGGCTTTCAATAAAACAAATGGCTACGATTACCCCCTTAACCCAGGAGCCCTCCCTGGGTGGCACGCTGCTCCCATTGTACTCTGAGAGAGAACACTTGTTCGGAAGGGTGTAATGGCGCTGGTTTACTGCCGTCAACTTGGCGAGAAGAACAAAGGCCTCACCTCTCATGACCTGTGACAGATGTCCCCTGGCCCGTGTGAGACCAGCTGAAACACCTGACCTCAGCCAAGGCCACAAGGTGAGGCTGTAAACTAGCCCAGTGAGAAAAGAGCAGGGTGGGTGGGAACAGCCTAGCAACTTAGCCATTCAAAGAGAGAGAGAGAAAGTGCTCAATCTGAATTTTTAAAACATGAAGTCAAAATGCTGGTTGAAATGTAGGCAATTAAATCCTCACCCACACATTCCCACTGCAACACTCCAGACTTCGGATCTCGTCATTAACTTGTCAGCACCTCCAAACTGCAAAATTTCCCCATGTGTGTGTGTGTGTGTTTGGGGGGGAAGGGTGGAGAGAGAGAGAGAGTTCATACATCTGATAAACGGAGCATGTCTTTTTTGCTTTTGCTTTTTAAGTGTTAAGGTTTTTTTTCATATAGATTTTGTGTATCCAAGGAAAAAGAAGGAACAAGCATGAAAAGGAAGAGAGAAAAGTTTAAATAATGATGGTTCGCTGTGTCAGCGAGAGAGAATTATATGGAGAAATAGTATCTGTTGCTTTTTCATTCCAATATTGGATAAACCAGACCCATCTCTCAATGACTAAACTAGGCTCATCTCTCTATCTTGCTGGGTGTTCCTTACAGCTCTTCTTTTACATGTTAGCCGCCATGACAAAGTTAACTCCCAAACTTTTCTCATCCGCTCTCTGATAGCTGGAGGGTTTTTGTTTTTCCCTTGCTGAGCTATACAAAGTTTAGCAACATTCAAAAGATTTGTCACCAGCTAAAGAACCACACTTCTACCAGATCCTAACATACAGAGGAGTATTGTTTTTGGACCCTGTTATGCCCTGTTATTTCCTGTTCTGTATTCAATACTCTTTTGGTGATTTCTCTAAATATAAGATGAAAGGGAATCCTTCATTGCAAGGATCCTTCATTGCAAGCTTACAGGTGAAAAGAAAATATGAGATTATTATTATTTTTCCAGAGGATTTTGATGAAAATGATTGCAGCGACACACTTGTTTGGATAGGGATGAGATGCTATATCAAAGTGGTGGCTCTGCTTACACCTTTAGAAAGGTTAACCATGCATGCTCTGAACTTGCAGTCCCAGTGAAGCTTTAGTTGATTAATCTCGCAATTAAACTGATAAATGCCTGAGCGCAGCCCACTATTTGCTCTGTAGGAGTAGCCGGGTGTAGCTGGGAATAACTGTTTGCTTTGCCAAGACATCTTTAATCTGGAAATATTGCTTTGCTTTCTAGAAGGTGTGCCTATACCAAAATGGGGGGGGGGGAAGGGTCACTTCTGAACTTCCCAAGTGATCTTTAAGTGATCATTGGAGGTGGATGTGAGATCTGATGTTGGCCCATCCACAGTAAGGGTAGGAAGCGCTGCTCTTCCTTGGCTTTCACTTTTGGGCATCATCACATAGTTGAGTCTGATTGGCTAGATGGCACCTGTCATGGACCCTGAGGAGACATTGGGGGTGGGGTGGGGGCTGACCAGATGGAAGGTGGGAGGAGTTGCCTGCAGAAGATCCCAGGGAGGTACCTACTGGGCTAGGAATATGAAGGCAGCCCTGTTTAGGGAAGCTTTTAATGTTTGATGCATTACTGCATTTTAATATTTTGTTGGAAGCCACCCAGAGTGGCTGGGGAAGCCCAGCCATATGGGTGAGGTATAAATAAATTATTATTATTATTATTATTATTATTATTATTATTATTATTTAGGAAAGACTGTGCTAGGTTCCAGGAGGACCAAGGAGCTACTCGGGGAAGAGGACTCCAGGGAAGTCCTAGTGGGGCATGGCACCGACATCACCCCCACCTGTTGCACCAAGTCTCCCCTCTGGGGTCACCGGAGCCCACTTCAGCTTCTAGCACTGTCAGTTCCAGAGGTGCTTTTAATGCCTCCTCCATCTCCTAGGTCCTGGAGATGTGAGCACAGGTGTGAACAGACCGTTCCAACCTAGTCCTCCCTGAGGAATAATGCCCCATTGCTTGCCCACTCCAATGACCAGTCCCATTTGCCACACTTAACTTGTGCTCACACCATTCCTACATAATGGAATTGCAGAGAGCATGTCGCTTGTTGGATCCTCTTAGCTTGTGAAGCCTTGCCTGGTACATCTTGTGCCTATTTACCCTTGCCAGTCTTTTACTCTGCACTGGTTTGAGCAATAAAGATTTCTCTCTCTCCCTCTCTCTCTCTCTTTCCTATTAACAGGATTCCTTTTAAATAATTATAATAATGCTTCCAAGAGGGACAGGCGCAAAGCATTCAATGTCTTTCAGTAAGGCTAGGGGGCCTACAGATGTGACTGGACTACAGGAGCATAGTTCAAAGGGTAAAGGTGCTCCTCTGAGAAACATTCCAGGTGTTGGGGGAATAGGGGGTCTTGAATCTGGGCTCTTGGCAATTAGGCTTAGGTGCCTTATTTCCTGCACTACCTGCCCTCTGCTTCCACTGCAGCCCTGGCTGGTAGAGTTCTGTGCTTCAAGGACACCATCAGCAGACCCTCACAAAGGCTGATCCCTGTCCACCAAGCCCTATAAAGCCCTATCCATCCCTTTTTGGCCACATTCCCTTCGGGGCAGCCTTGCAGGGATTGCCTGCCCGTGCTCAGCAGGACAACATCAAAAGCTGGCAGAGAGATAGAAGTTGCTCCTACCTTTGTCCAGCAGGTTGCACACCAGCTGTGTAAAAGTCAGATTTCTGTACATACACTTTTCCTCTCCATTCTTCCTGCAAGAAGAAGTATCCTCATTTAAGGATTCATTCCAGGCCAAGCAAAATCTATGGAGGAGGGCCTGGATCAGGGCCAATGAGGGGTGTGGGCTGTATGGTGGATGTGGCCTAGGGAAAGTCTCAAGGGTCAGATAAAGAGGACTCTATTTGGCCCCCAAGCCTGACGTTCCCACCCTAGCTTCAGAATTTCCTTCACCATGTGAGCTGTTAGTCTCTGGAGTATCTGCACTACCTAAGCACCTGCTCACATATAGCTGAATTGATTATGTGATAAAATACAGAGGTTATTTGGAAAATTCACCTCGTTATCTTTTAACACTTGCTTCTGAGTACAGTCTTCTTAAATAATAGGGACAATATTGCTATTTATATAGCTGCACGTTGCTTTGCTGACTGCAGTAATGGCAGGTTTACCCTAAAGGGTTTTTTAATGGCCTAAAGGCTTGCAATCAATTTTGACAGGCTTAAAAGTCTGGGGCTGCGATCGGCTATGGGTGATATATGGCTAAAGGGGTCAGATAAACATGGCCTGCTACTTTGGGGGAACCTGTTTCTCTGCAGTGGACCTGGGGAAAAGCCATTCCAGAATCTAGATGGGGAAGTGTAGGAATGGAACTCTTGAGTCGAGAAGATCTGCACTGGATGGTGCTTGAACACAATGCATTTGAGCTTCTGTAGGATAGCTCAGTTGGTAGAGCATGAGGCTCTTAATCTTAGGGTTATGGGTTCGATCCCCACAGTGGGCAAAAAGATTCCTGCATTGCAGGGTGTTGGACTAGATGACCATTGTGCTGCCTTCCAACTCTACAATTCTATCAACCACCACAGATTCTGTAATCCCAGGAGTGCAGGGCTCCACATGAGAGGGTCCCGGGAGGTAAAGCTGTGAGTTAGATATTACCTGGGGCATGCGCACCAGCAGGGTCCTGGACAGGACTGAAGGTGCTGATCCAGAGAACAGTTGGTCAGGTTTCAGTACCATGGCCAGCGCTCCTGCATTTAAAGCAGAGGCAGGGAATTTATGACCCTCCAGGTGTTGCTGTACTATAATTCCCATCGTCTCATGGCTATTGACCTTGCTGGCTGGGGCTGATGTGAGCTGGGGTCCTACAACATCTGGAGAACCACAGGTTTTCCCCATTCCAGGTTTAAAGCAAGAAGTCAAGCTACCACAACCCTAACCTAGGATAACCTGCCAGAATTTTATGGTCTATCCAAGAGTGTCAGTGTGGAAGATCCACTGTGGTGCATCAGGCCAGCTTAAAGGGTCAGTGCCTTTTTTGTACAGTGACTGACTTCTTCTAGGGCAAGGGAACTGTAGGCCTCCAGATGTAGTTGGACAGCCATTCCCATCAGCCCCAGCCAGCATGATCAGTGGTCAGGGATGATTAAAGTTGTAGCTGTCGTAGTTCCACTGCTGAGCAACAGTGTGCAGAGCTTGGTGGGGTGTTCAGCCAAACAATCTGTAGATAAAGAGTTTCTGAGATACGCTTTGCAGAATCAGCATGTGAAGTCAAGTCTGTTCCAAGGGACTGCTGTGTTCTCCCACAAAAGAGAATGGTCAGAGAGATTAGGAGAGACAGCTAAGGGGTTACTGTGTCTGCTGCCTGAGGCAGTCACCTCACACTGTCTAACGTTAGGGCCAGCCCTGAGCCCTAACATAGGAAAAATTCATTTTGGCCTCTCCAGCTATGGGGACCAAGAGACTCACATGTCAGTGACTCTGTGACACTTAAAGAAAACTGGAGATGTGTAGCAAAAGATCCAGCCACATGATTGTGCCACCGCCACCCCCTCCTCCACTCTTTACAATGGATTTGAATGTTAGCATTCATTCCTTTCTTCCCAACTGTCAGAGCTTTCAGAATTGCTGCCGGCACAAAAGCTTTTGCCTTAATTACTACCTCTCTGGATTCAGCTCTTTGCCTTAATGTAGATTCAGGTGTGTTTAAAGTAATTTTATTTCACTAATATTTTTTTAAGCAGTTTTAAAATGTAGCACTTTTTCTTTCTTGCTTTTTTTGCATGCTAATGCACGATTTCCAGAATTCAACCCAGCCAGAAATTGTGGTTAAAAACTTTCAATTGTTCCAACGGAATAAAATTCATTTTCAAACTGAAGGAAGGTAACTGGGGGTTGGGCTGGGGGGTGCATTCAAATGGATGTTAAGATGCATGTTTTAAGGTGGGTGGTATTAGAATCTGCTCTCCAGATTTGCAAGAAGGAGCACTGAATGGAACATGATGGCTACATTAAGTTCAACTGTTGCCAAACTGGCTGGTTTGAAAGACTTCCCCACTCCCATGAGAACACATCTCTCTTCTGTACTTGCAACGCTAAAATAGCCAATAGATCTGATTTGAATTAAGCCAAGTAGCTTTTACCTTGCAATCCGTGCTTCTGTCAGTACATTAGAGGGCCTGTGGGAGCTCTGGCCGGTGAGCCAAATCAGGCTAAGAAGGGGTCCTAAATTGATGTGCAAGACTGTTTCCCCCCAAGCCACGTCCCCCTGACCCACAGATATGGGGGAAATAAAAATGTGGCTGCAAAGGGGCACCAGGAGCCTCACGGAGCCTGACGGCTCCTTAGCACATGACATTTGCTGACATCACTGGCCAACTGATCAGGCAGTTGCACCTTCAGCAAGGATCTTCCTTTTGCAGCTTGGTTTAAGTTCAAGCTGGGTTGCAAAGCCATCCTTTCAGAGTGCTGGTTTGGACCTACAAAGCCCTAAACCAGGCACAGGCAAACTCCAGCCCTCCAGATGTTTGGGACTACAATTCCCATCACCCCTAGCCTAGCTAACAGGACCAGTGGTCAGGGATGATGGGAATTGTAGTCCCAAACATCTGGAGGGGCGGAGTTTGCCTATGCCTGCTCTAAACGACTCAGGACCACCATATAAATTGATCTAGACTCTGCGTTCATCACCTGAGACTCTTCTTTGTTTGCCTCCTTCATGTGAGGACCAGAGGGTGGCAACACGAGAACAGGGCCTTTTCTGCAGTGGCTCCCTGTCTGTGGGATTCTCTCTCCAGGGAGGTTCATAATATATCTTTAGGTACCAGGCAAAAATGTTCCTTTTCAACCAGGCCTTGGGCTGATTAATATTCTACAGCCTTTTAAATTTGTTTTTGTGGGGGTTTTTTGTTTTCTTTTGTTGTTTACATTTATGTTGTTTAAGTTTTGGCCATTTATTTGTGCTTTTGCCTTGTATTTTTTTGCAGCGAGGGCTTGAACTCAAGCCAGGCTGCAGAGGAAGAAAGCAAAGAGTTGGGAGCATCCTTAGAATGCGCTCTGGATCTTTTTCTTTGACATCACAGTGATGTCAGATGACTGACAGTTTCACCCACTTGTCAAATGGCCCATAGGGGTGGTGTGTGCCAATAGGCAGCAAGGGCACATTCAGAGATGTTCTGCACGGCTGCCCTGCAGCTATGAATTCTCTCTCCCTTTCGGCAGCTTGACAAAGCCAGGGCAGCTTTTCTGAAGCTGGGCAAGATCTTTTTATGCGAGGATTGGCTTTCATGCACAAAGGTTAATCCAGCAGTGGACTGTCTCTTTCCTCCTTTTTTTTTTTCAAAGCAGCTATAATGTATATCCAGGTGTTTGTTTTTTAACTGGTTTCCTTTAAGTTAAAGTAGGACACTTTTTTATTTTATGGGGTATTTGGGGGTTTGTTTTGTAATCTGAGCCATCCGGTTGGGGCGAGTGATCAACTACATGCTGGATAGCACCGTCTCTGTGAAATGAACACTCTCTGCCCTGTTTGCTTTGTGAAGTTTGATAGCCAGAGTTCAGAAGCTGGTGGCTGCTTCCTGTATTGCGTCTCCTATATTGTTTCTGTGCCTCGATTCTTACAATGGTTTTATATTTTATTGTCAGGTGGAATTGGCTTTTATTGGAGGTTAGCAGCTGCTTTGTGGAGGAAATTCCTCAAAATGCCTGCATTTTTTATTTTTCTAAAATAAAAAGGTGAGCAGGGCATGGCTAGCCAAGCAATGGGACTATGAAGGACAGGATAATATTTTCTGCTTAGATTAGAACTATAGGAAGCTGCTGTATACCTTCTTAGACAATTTCAGCCTTCCGCATCGTGGTACCCAGATGTTTTGACTGCAACTCCTGTTGCTTCTGACTCTTTGGCATACTGGCAGAAGCTAATGAGAGTTGTAGTCATCTGCATATTTTGGAAATTGGCTCGTCTGTTCATCCTATAGTCTGTTTGTTTTCTGTGTGTTCGGACGCCTCTTGAGATATTGTTGCCAAACTGGGCATGAGGGTTCCTGAGCTGGGGTGGGTTCTTTTCATCAACACTTGGATGCTGAGTGCTACTTTGATTCAAGATGGTGGAACAAAGCATGACTTTGGCGTGACTTCGCCCATAGGTTTGGCCACCTCTCAAGATCCCCTTGCCAAACTCAACACAAGGATTCCTGAGGTAGGGGAAGGGAGGTCTTCATTGATGTTTGGAACCAGGTGCCATTTTGAATCAAGATGGCTGACCAAAATGTGACTTAGGTGTGACTTCACCAGGTTTTGGGTCAACTCAGAAATTATGCTATCCATTTAAAAATTGAAATATTTGTTGGTTTCTAAAAATTCCTGCGTAGTGCCAAGCATTCTCTGCTAGTCCGAACGTAAGAAGAATCCTGCTGGAACAGACCAATGACCCAATAATAAATTTGGCCATAATAAATATTGAACTCTGGCACACTGGGAAATTGCACAATTGGGTATTTGTTTGCATAAGATCCATTAAGTGATTCTGCTGAACAAAGTCGTATTCAGGACAGAGATCCATGAATGCACTTGTCAGGTTTTCCAATGGGAGGGCTATACTTTTCAGCCTGACAACACCTTCCTTACCAAGGATTGAGAGATGCATGGATGGAAGCTCATCTCTGATAGGCTTACCATACGTCAGGAAAATTACTGACTTGTCCTGGTTTTGGGGTGTAAAACTGGCATCAGGGGAATTTTACCAAATCATCAAAATGTCAGGGGAAACCCATATGTACAGTATGGCAACATGATGAAAAAAGCAGCAGAAACAGCTCCAAAAAGCTTAAAATCACTATTTGGAGGGGGAGGTCTTCCTGAAAAAAGCTCAACAACATTGTGGGTGTCTGGAATTTAACTTTTTGAAATATGGCAACCCTAATCTCTGACCTTGCAAAGTACTTCAGAAGCACTCAAAAACAAAGAGAATTCTTCAGTGTACCATGGAAGCTCAGTACAACTGCAGCACCAGATCTCAAATAACCTTCTGCTGGATTTCTGATTAGGCATTGATAAATGCATCAGTTTGCATTTTAAAAACAATATCTGCACCAAAATTTGGATGCTTTGCCCAACACACACTTTTTGCAAAAGTATAAATTTCCTCCAATTTATATTTTTGCCTTTTTCTCTCTCTAGTGTGTGTCCACATTTCCCTAATACATGTTCACTAGTGTACACATTTTGTGTGCACAGTTCCTTGGTTGGTTGGAGAACCTCAACACAGCATTACAACATTAGGAGAAGTGTTAGTTTCAAAGACTGCTGTTTGACTCCTGTGTTGGATTGGGAAGTGTGAAAGACTTCTGCTCCCATCTCTGCTTTTCAAACTAGTGAGTCTACTTTCTTCTTCCCAAGTATCTCCAAACCTCAGCCCAGTGTTGGAAGCAAAGCTCTTCCTCTCCCCTTGAGACATGATCCAAGGTGGCCAAAACTTTTGGCTACCTGTGAAATCTCCCTAAACTCTGTCGACTCCTCTTGCAGAGCAATGAAAGCAGAATGGTGAAATGCCTGGAGACCAAATCCTGTGAGGAAAGAGCTGGGTATATTTAGCCTGGAGAAGAGAAGATTAAGCAGAGACATAATAGCTGTCTTCAAATATCTGAAGGGCTGTCATGCTGAAGATAGATCTCCAGAGATTGGACTACAACTAATGGGTAGCAATTGCAGGAAGCCGATTTCAGCTAAATATCAGGAGAAACATCCTAACCAATAAGAGCTGTTCAGTTGTGGAACAGACTGGTTCAAGAGGTGCTGGGCTCCCTTTGCTGGAGGTATTTAAGAAGAGGCTGGATGTCTGTCAGGGATGTTGTAACTCCACCCTGCACTGAACAGCTGAATTGCAACTACTCTATTCTGAACTTAAAAATGGAAAGCGTAATGCTGGTGGTCAACAAAAGAGGTTTAAAGACTCTCTCAAGGCAAATCTAAAAAAAATGTAGTATAAACACCAACAACTGGGAAACACTGACCTGCGAGCGCTCCAATTGGAGATCAGCCTTTGAAGATGCTCAAACTCAGGACAAAAAGGAGAAACGTGCTAAGAGGAAGGGGTGCTTGGCAAACCCTCACCATGATCAACCCCTGCCTAAAAACCAATGTCCCCACTGTGGAAGGACGTGTGGATCCAGAATTGGCCTCCACAGTCCCTTACAGACTTACTGTTAAAACCGTGTTCATGGAAGACAATCTTACTTGGCTACGAGTGATCGCCAAAGAAGAAGAATTGCACCCTGCATTGAGCAGAGGTTTGATTAGATGACAACTGAGATCCCTCCCAACTCTTAACACAAGAACATAAGGAGAGTCTGATGGCTCAGGCCAATGGCCAGTCTCATCCAGCATCCAGTTCTCACATTGGCCAACTAGATGCTCCAATGGGAAGCTCCACGTTATATTATCCCCACCCCAATGTTACAGAGGTCCTCCTTTCCCTGGCTCAGTGCACCTAGCAGCCAGTCGACTCAGAAGTACCACTGAGTTTCCTGGGGCTTCCTCTCAGGCAAGGGCACAGAGGTTAGCAGCCTAAGAGGATTTCTAGAGAATTCTGATGTTTTCTGGGCAACAGGAATGCCCTGCAGTGTTCAGCCCTGGATGACTTTGTTTTCCCCTTGGTTGACTTGTTTGAACAACACCCCTGTTGTGAATGGGAATCTCCCAGAAGCCCAGGCAGACTGTTCAGCCGCCTTCCCCATGGCTGGCTGTACCCCAGCCTCATCCATCTCCTTGAATAATCTCATCCCAGCCTGGGGCAGGAGAGGCACAAAATCCATCACTGAAACAGCCTTCGGGTGACTTGTGCTGTTGGGAGACAGACCCAATTTAACACTTCATTAAGGATTTGCCAGCCATTGATCTAGATTATCAGGGTTACTGCCAGCTAATTGCATCTTCCTATACTTATTAATTATATTTGGAGAGCAAGAGAGCGGTGCACGGCGCCTGTCTGCTATATTTAGAAAAATCTCCAGCAGATATCTAATTATGGAACAGATCATTCACTGGTGCTAGGTAAACCATTAAACCTCCCCGTATATATCTCACTCTCACTCACTCTCTTTTTAACCAGAGGTAACCGTTAGGATAGATCTTCCGCTGTTCACGAAGCCTTCCTCCTGGATTGCCCTCCATTTCATGTAACTAACAGAAGCAATAGTCTTTGTAAACAGCAGGGTAGAGGTGCTTTGCTGCCATTCACCCTGTGAAAAGGGATCATTCCTAGTTGCAAAGTTGGAAGAGCCTCCTCTTCCAGGGCTTGGAAGTAGGGGTGTAGCTAGCAGCTCTGGCACCCGGAGCGGCGGGGGCAGGGCGAATCGCCCACGGGGGCACCACGGCGATCCACCCACAGAGTCTGCCTGGTGGACGCAAGCCCCACGCTGCCATTTCAGGCAGGGCAGGGCCCCGAACCACCACGTCACTCCCAGGAGAGATGCGTGGCTCGGGTGCACTGCAGGCCAGACCCCGCAGTAAGTGCCACCTCCCGCGATGTGCCATTTTGTCACCACCACCCCCAGGGATGACACCTGGGGTGGGCAGCCCCCCCGTGCCCCCTTCCTACACCCCTGCCTGGAAGGTGGACTGCTGCACACTGGCAGAGCACTTGCTGTGTCACAGAATGCTCCTTGTTCAAATTCCGACCTGCTGCCAGTCAAGGTAGATGATTCTGAGCTCAATGGACCAATGCTATAGCTCAGTATAAGACAGTTTCTTGTATTGGCTGACTGATGAACAAGAACAAGGCAGTAGAGTGGACAGTACCACCTCAGGCTCCAAATTGAGGGGGGTGTAACATTTCTGAATGCAATTCCACATTTTTATTTTTATTTTTTTAAAATGAGGTTGAAAACTATCACTATAAAGAAATAATGAAATGTGTTTAAGCTAGTTGGAAAAATAAAGTAGTATAACAAGAATGGCTGGAAGTGAAGTCACTTGGTGGGTGTCCGTATGGGGTAGGTGTGTAGGTATGTTGATATGTATAGTATAGGTAGGTATAGAGTAATGTAGGTATGTTTTATGCTATGAAAATTAGGTAGTGTGCTGTGTACGTGTATTGTGTAAATGTATATGTATGTGTTTTATATGTTAATAAAATAAAAGGGGAAAAAAGAAAACTATCACAGAGAGTAAACAGGGATCAAACTTTGTGCCTAAAAAGTGTGTGTGTGTGTGTGTGTGTGTGTGTGTGTCACAAACACACACACACACACACACACACACATATTTCAAAGAGGAGGCTTTTTTTAAAGGCAGTTGGAGCATTTAAAATTAGCGTCCACCACACGTAGTTTGAAATGGTGCGATCCACTTGGCCACCCCATTCTAGCCTCATTTCCCCCGCATGGTCTGACCAAGCCTTAATAGTAATTCACGGAGCTGTGTTTATCATTCAGTGTCAAATATGTGAACCTCTCCGCACACAAAACGTGCAGTGTTGGACGTGTGGACATTTTCTCTGCAATGTATGATCTGCGATGGCCATAGCCCAATTCTTGTGACGGGTCAGTGTAGATTCTCTGTGTGCAAAGTAGGAACACAGCAGCAAGCCTCACCCTTAATCTAGGAGGGCCTAAGGGGCAGTGGTACTGTTGGGGCAGAACTCTAGGGCAGATGGTCATGGCCCCTCCAGCAGAATGAGCAGGAAATTAGTAAATACACATTACACATTGCCATCTAAAGCAGTGAGACCATTAAATCCAGAGTCTAGAATTACCTGTATGCAGCACCATGCACTACATCAGTCAGAAAAGCTGTAGGTGGAAGGGCAGATCAGAGTTTGGCAATTGCAGAAGGATCAAGGCCATTTCATCGCCTGTTCCCCAGGCAGCTGGAAGTTCCAGGCAGCCTCTGCTGGCTCAGTTTATTTCGTTCAAGAGATCGCTGGAGACTTATAGCAGTCCCTATAAATAGCTTTTTTATTTTACTTTAAAAAATACGAAGGGAGAGAAGGAATTATAGGACTGTAGGTCCAGAGCAGGCAGTGTGAAATCCAAGAATGTGGGTAATCTCTGCCAAAATCAAAATGCTGCTCTTAAGAATGGGGTGGGGGTTTTTTTTAGCTGTCTGTCACACAAAATGGAAAGTGGCTTGAAAAAATAACCAGTGGGGGAAAAGAAATGAACGGACTTTGCTCTAGACAGGGGAGTTTCTTAGGAAGTAAAAAGGTAGAGGGACCCATGACCATTAGGTCCAGTCATGACCGACTCTGGGGTTGTGGCACTCATCTCGCTTTATTGGCCGAGGGAGCCAGCGTACAGCTTCCGGGTCATGTGGCCAGCATGACTAAGCCGCTTCTGGCGAACCAGAGCAGCGCACGGAAACGTCGTTTACCTTCCCACTGGAGCGATAACTATTTATCTGCTTGCACTTTGCCGTGCTTTCGAACTGCTAGGTTGGCAGGAGCTGGGACTGAGCAGCGGGATCTCACCCCGTCGCGGGGATTCGAACCGCCACCTTCTGATCGGCAAGTCCTAGGCTCTGTGGTTTAACCCACAGAGCCAGCATCACGGGAAAGCGTTGGGATGATGTTGGATTTCAAGGTCATAAGCAGATGACAAAGATGCAAAAAAGATAGGACTCCTGCACCTTTAATCGTTGTGTAGGAGAAGGACATTTACCTGGTGTTGCTTGCATGACAAACTACACCTGTTGAAATTCCCTGTTCTACCCACAACTATTAAAAATATGAGAGCCCTGTTCTATTCCATATGTCAACCCTTTTGTCCTACTCAGATTCACAGCTCTTCTGTCGGCAACGTCAAATTAATACTGGGTCCAGAGTACAGCACTATGAAAACCTCTCCTTCCTTCCTTCCTTCCTTCCTTCCTTCCTTCCCTCTATCCTAGCATATCGTCTACTCTGAGTGGCAGCAACTTTTTAGGGACTTTTCCATCACCTGCCACCTGGTACTTTGAACTGGTGATAAGAGGAATGACAGTAGCCCAGTGGTGGAAGGCATGTTTTGCACAAGGAGGGGCAATTTTCTATCCCTGGTGTCTCCAGTGAAATGGACCAGGTAGGAGATGGTGGAGAAATCCTTGGAGAGATGCTGCCGGTCAGAGCAGGTAGCATTCAGCTAGATGGACTCAATGGTCTGAATCAGCGTAAAGCAGCTTCATCTTTGTTCAGCAGCCAAATCTCACTTGAGCTTTCCGTTGCAGCGGATGTCGGATTTGGTCCTTCAGTTTCTTAAAGGGTTGGATTCTCACACTTTGCTCACTCCTTCCTTTTAGGGTGGCCAGCTGTAGGAAAAGACAGGGCTGTTGCCCATTCAACAGGACATTTCGGTAGAGGTAGCTTGCCGTTCTCTTCTACACAACTGTTAAAGGTGCCGGAACACTGTCTTCTTTCTACAGAACCTGATTCCTGGAACAGGACTCTGCTAGAGTCGGCAGCGTGGTGTAGTGGTTAGAGTTTTGGTCCAGGACCAGAAAGACCAGGGTTCAAATTCCTGCTGAGCCATGAAACTCACCCAGCGAACTTGGGCCGGTCACCATCTCAAATCCTAACCTACCACACAGGGTTGTCGTGAGGATAAAAGAATGGGCAGGAGAACTATGCTTGCCACCTTGAGCTCCTTGCAAAAGAAGGCAGCAAATACATGCAATACATAAATACAGTGGTACCTCTGGTTGCGAACGGGATCCGTTCTGGAGGCCCGTTTGCAACATGAATAGAATGCAACCCACAGAGGCGCGTCTGCGCACACGTGGGTTGCGATTCACTGCTTCTGCGCATGCACATGATGTCATTTTGCGCATCTGCGCATGCGCGAGCAGCAAAACCCGGAAGTAACCCTTTCTGGTACTTCCGGGTCGCTGCGGGACACAACCTGAAAAAACGTATCATGAAGCAAACGTAACATGAGTTATGACTATAATAGGCTTGGGTCCTGGGAAAGGAGAGGTCTAGTACGTATGGTAGAGAGGAACTTCTCACTAAAGTCAGGCCTACTAGTCCTTACTGCCCCAGGATCTCCATCTTCAGAAAGTTGGGATTCCACCCCTTACGACCCATTTACATGTGGTTCAGAGACTCACCTGTGGCAGTTCAGAAGTGGGTATGGGCGCGACTTTCAACCTTCACGGGCATGCACCACTTTGTCACTATCCTTGATCGGGCCACCACAGCAGCAAGTGTAGCTGTGTGTGTGTGTGTGTGTGTGTGTTTGTGTGTGTGTTTATGTGTGTGTAGCAAATGATCTCTCTCTCTTTTTATGGCGTTTCCACGCCCGGGTGTTTCCAAAGCTGGCCGCCTCTGCAGCACTCTCGGGTAGCGGACATCAATATTTAATAAGCAATATATCCGTATTTTATTGCTCATTACTGGCAAGATTATTTCAGTATATTACTCTTAGATATGAATATTTATGGTGTATTACTCGGCTCGAAGTTAAATGGCTTATTGACACGCTATTAATGCCTGGTAAGCACCGCTTTGCTCTCGCTCCCTCGTCTGCTAAAGTGCCCATGGGCGGGGCGGGTTTGGGAAGCTGTCAAGATCCTGGCACTTGTGTTCTCGTTCTCTCGACGGCAAACATTGGGAGGAAACTGCACTCTAGTCCAGTCCCATTGGGGCTCACCTGGTGGTGGTTGGAAAAATAATCCAGACTCCACCTTAATTAGGCTGACCAAATTGTCACAAAAGAGTGAGCAAGCTTTTGAGTAGTACAGAAGTCTTCATCAGGGTGGGAAAACCTTTATTTGTTCAGGGGTCACTTTGTTTGTTTCTTTGTTTGCTTGCTTGCTTCCTTATTGCCCAGTGGGTTGGACTAAATGACCCCTGAGGTCCCTTCCAATCCTATGAGTCTTTGACCAGATTTGATTGTCTGCATCCTTCACCCTAAGGTTCCAGGGCGGGTTGCAACATTAAAAACTGTTTAAAGCAAAGCAGGGCCGCCATGGGGTGTTGCTCAGAGAGTCCCTAGGGTCAGATGGAGTGCCTTGGAAGATTGCATAGCTGTCAACTTTTCCCTTTTCTTGCGAGGAATCCTATTCAGAATAAGGGAATTTCCCTTTAAAAAAGGGAAACGTTGACAGCTATGAGATTGCTTCTGGCACTTAAGCCCCAAATCCCTAAAGCCCTGTTCTGTATGCCCAATGGTGAGATTTGAGCCTATGCATATTGCATATTGACCACTGTGCAAACACGGATGCCAAGCATTTAATTTGATAAATAATAATGCTGTTGAGGTATTGCTTTCGTTTGTTACTATGTATGCATCTATTGTAAAGCTTGGTGTGATCCTTGATGAAGGGTGACATAGAAACTTAATAAATACACTACTACTCATAGAAACAGAATCGTGAAGGGGGGGTTATTGAGTTGCCTTTGCTTTTATTAAGTATTTTGTGTTTTTATATTGTAGTTTTGTGTTGTGAACCACCCTGAGATCTGTGGATAAAGCATGGTATACAAATATAATATAATACTAATAATATAATAATAATAATATATAAATATAAATAGAAGAAGAAGAAGAAGAAGCCACAGTCCTGCCCTTGGCTGTCAGACATTTGGGAAATGCTGCCTTTTTAAATTAGAGGGTGGATGGCCAGCTGTCATGGATGCTTTAGTTGAGATTCCTGCATTGCATGGGGTTGGACTAGATGGCCCTCGAGGTCCCTTCCAACTCAACCTTTCTGTGATTCTATGCAAATATGCCTTGTGTGTCTCCGGTTCTCCAGTTGGTCATGGTTTCTTTTGACAGTTGTCTCCGATGAACTCGAGCCAGGCTGGTGTACAGGGCATACTTAAACTAGGGAGTTTGGCTCCCTGTGATGTCCACCAACGTGTATGGTTTTAAAAGAGGGTTAGGCAAATTCATGAGGGATAAGGCTATCAGTGTCTACAAGCCCATGATTACTATGGTCTGCCTCCACTGTCGGAGGCATTCTGCCTCTGAATAACATTTGCAAGTGAGGAAAGCACTGTTGCCCTCAGGCCCTGCCTGCAGCCCTTGGGCCGGACACTGTGAGAAGGTAAAAGGTAAAGGACCCCTGGATGGTTAAGTCCAGTCAAAGGGGACTCATCTCTCTTTCAGGCCGAGGGAGGTGGCGTTTGTCCACAGACAGCTTTCCGGGTCATGTGGCCAGCATGACTAAACTGCTTCTGGTGCAACTGGACACCGTGACGAAAACCAGAGCGCATGGAAATACCATTTACCCTCCCGCCACAGCGGTACCTATTTATCTACTTGCTCTGGTGTGCTTTCAAACTGTTA